TTTATGGATCATGCTTTTGTTACCAAATATAGAATGCTTTGACTAATTTGGATCTGAAGATTTTCTTCTAATATATATTTCTGTATAGCTCTATCTCACATATTTTATATGTATTTCATAAATATATATACATATATTTTTTTCCTGCTACACTGGATGTTGAACCCAAAGCCTTGCAATGAGCTATATCTTCAACCCTTTTTATTTTTTATTTTGAGATAGGGTTTCAAAACCCAGCCCGGTCACCCAAGCTGGCTTTGAATTTGCAGTATATCCCGAGTAGTTCGGGTTATAGATGTGAGCCACTGGACTCAGCTTTAAAATTAGATTTTTCATGTTTTACACTTAATTCCATGACCCATTTTGAATATACTTATGTATATAGTGTGAGGTTTATGTTAAAGTTCTTTTTTTAACCTGTGACTAGTCAATTACAGTATTTGTTGAGAAGGCGACCTCTTGCACTGAATTTTTTGTACCTTTGTAAAAATTCAGTTTGGCCTAATTATATAGGTCTATTTCTAGGTTCTATATTCTGTTCTAGGTTCTAAGTTCTGTTGATTTCCAGGTTCTGTATTCTGTTGACCCATGTACCTTTCCTTCTACTGGTATAGCACAATCTTGATTTCTGAAGCAGTGTAATATGTCTTGAAATTAGAGTGATTCCTTTCATTGTATTCTTATTTTTCAGATTATTATTTTTTTTTTTTTTGGGTTTTGGGTTTTTCTCCGGTACCGGGAACCGAACTCACGACCTTGCGCTTGCCAGGCAGGCGCTTTTGCCGCTGAGCTAAATCCCCAGCCCTTTCAGATTATTTTTAATCATTCTAATTCCTTTGGGCTTCTGAATAAATTTGACAATAATATTGACTGTCTCTGCAAAGCATCTTTCTGGGATTTTGACAGGAATTGTCAATTTAGGGAGAATTGCTATCTTTATTATTTTGAATCTTCCAACTCATAAACCTCTTATGTCTTCCCCTTTATCTAAATGTTCTTCAGTTTAGTTCATCAGCATTTTGTAGTTTTCAACAATAAATCGTATGTGTATTTTAGATCTATACCTAAGTAATTTAATTTTTTGAACAATTTGTTGTGTGTATGTGTGTGTGTGTGTGTTACTGGTGATCAGATCTAGGGCCTCATACATGCTAGACAAGCACGTTACCACTGAGCTAAAATCCCAGGAACTTAACTTCAGTGTCCATGTGCTCCCTAAAAGGGCATATAATTGCTTTGTCTGTGTGCATCTTGAGTCATGCAACCTTGCTGAACCTACCTGTTTGAAGAGTTGTATTGTACATTCCTTGAGATTTTCTGTGTAGATAATTGATTATGTCATCTCAAATAGGGACAGTTTCATTTTTTCCTTCTAATATGTATACGTTTTATTTTTTCTTCCTACCTTTCTGGCTACAGCACTGTGTCGAATAAGGGCAGTGAGAGAAGACATTTTTGCCTCCCCTCCCTGAGTCTTAGGGTAGGTGCCTCAGTCTTTCAGTGTTAAGGGTAATGTAGCTGTAGTTTTCTTTTGTAGCTGTTTGTACCAATTTCTATTTTGTAAATTAGCAGTGCAATAAGTTGACTTAATAAAAAGGAAAGATCCTACTGTTTTTCTGAAATGGTCAGGTGGTTTGTATGACTAAGGGTTTGAAAGATCCACTGTCCTATCTCAAAAATTTTCTGCCTATCTGAGTGAAATTTACTATCTTGGGCAAAGGTACTTTTTAAAATGCAAAACTGGGCCAGCGATACAGCTCTGTGGCACAAGTGCCTGCCTGGCAAACACGTCCTGAGTTCGATTCCCGGTACCAAAAAAACCCAAAAAACAAAAATAAAATGCAAAACTTCTTAACATGGTTAACATTTTATATTGCTATTGTTCTTGGCTTTGTCGAGTCGTTCATCTGTTTCTTTTCTCTTTACCCAAGCGCAAAATGTGTGGGGTGGGTGAGAGAATAAAGGAGGCACAATGTTTGGAGCAGAGAACGTCTCAGTTGGGAAGCGTGAGAGTACTGCTAGTTAAAGTAAAATCAGTTACACTGAAAAGGAGCCGAGCCTCATTTAACCTTTTAAAAAGTTTACATTTTTTTATATTAAATAACTATAATTTTAAAAGTATAAACAGTACATTTAGGAAGTTTATTTTATAATTTGCTTTCAAATGGTTTTGCATTTGTTTAATATACTGCATTTGTTAATGCTCCCCTAAAGTGTATATTGTAGATCACAGAAACATCCTAATTATAGCCCTTTTATCAAGAATGACAACATATCATTATTTTACTTTCAAAATAAGATGATATACCACCAAGTTATAAGAATGAAGCACAAATAATATTTCACTAAAAATCCCTTATACTTGCTTCATTTGGGGCATAATTACAGTGTTTCATATCTTCCCAAGTTTCACAAAAATATCCTAAGTAATTAGCCAATACAGACACTAAGAATTTGAAAAAGGTTATTACCTTTTTTATGTTGCAATTTTACTTACAGAAAATTATTTGTAATTTAATAGCATTGAAAACTTGTGTGCAATAGGTTTATTTAACATAGATCTTTCAAGGATTTGGATTATACCAGGGGACATCTGGAGATCGCTCTTGTGGACCTATTATTTTATTTTATTGTTTTGTTTCGTAGATTGTAATGAATATCATGTTTTCCCTTTCTTTGCTGAGCCTTTATAAAATCTCTTCTCTAAAATGTATTGCTTCACTAATTTCAGGTTTTTGTTCCCTTCACTGCTTTGATAAATGTTATTTTTTCTAATAATTTTGACAGTGTGAAGTTTATAGTATTTCTGTTGTATGTATCATGCAGCAGATGCTCCACCCAACAGGAATTTTCTTTCAGTAAGGGTAGAATATTTTGCCAGGAGCAGCATAAGAATTGCTACTAATAAGCAAAGGTTAAGGATGAAAATGTCTCAGAGTTAGTGATATAACTTCCAATTGACAAAAAGGAACCAAAACTCAAGATGAGCAGAAGGACTGTAAAAAAAATCCATCTGTTCTGAATTAGTTCAAGTTTCTTGACCTGGATGAATTATTTTCCTGGGGGCTGATCGTATCTTTGAATGGGGTCACAGGACCATTCATGGTATCTATGCAGACTTGTAGGAAGAGGATGCTATTCCATTATGAAATGCCTATAAATTATAACCAGTGAGCTTAATTTCAATTCCAGATAAGGTTTTAGAATTTACTATTAAAGGGTGATTTTTGCAGATATATTAGCGAAAATAATAACCCCTGGACCAAATTTTGTACATTAAGAGGCAGCATGCAGCTTTGGCATTCCATTTTTTTGTAGGGTTACAAATCTAGGATGTATATTAGGGATAGAATACATGGACTTCTTGAAGATATTTGATAAAATTTGTCATAATATTCCCAAAGAGAGTATGAATAATTTTAGGCTGTTTACACAGGTAACGGGGTGATTTAATAATCAGATAAGGTTGTACCTGAAATGTACTGAATAATGGGGCAGCATCAATCAGGGTGACATGACAGGGTAGGGAGCAGTAGCCTCAATTGTTTTATATTCAACATTTTTAAATCAAAGGGTTAGACGGATAAGGTGACTTAGAAACGATCAAACTTCCTGAGAGACAAAGCTGACAGAAGATAGAACAGGGTGCTTTGTAAAGTAGTTTCCTGTCCTTTGAGATGTTAAAATAAAAGCTGGATAGTATATCTAGGATGGAATAGACTTGATGAACCCATCCAGAACTTGAACCAGATTATGATTTCTTTGAAATCTGATGTTTCATAAATCTACAAATGTTGGTGTCAACAGCAGTTAGGGGGTCGATATAGTCATTCACCTACTGTGTTATTTTTAATATAAACTTTTTATTATTAATGTAAAATGAACATTTTATTTTATAAACTTTGCTATTGGTTTGTTCCCACAAGCATTTGTAAGTGATAGAAAGATGTGGTGCTCTCACTCTTTGTTACAGGAGCAGTTTCCATAATTTCAGGGGAGGGTGTCATTAAGAATATGTACTTCAATTATCCAAAAGTTGATTTCAATTTTAATGTATTGGAGCAAATATTTTACAAAGCTACCTCTTACCCTTTGTGAGAAGCAAAACAAACAGAGGCTACTTGAGGAATATTTATACTTGAGACGTAAAAATGAATCATCTTTTTTCTGACTTTGCTGAAATTCCATTTGTCACTGCCTCTATGTCACTGCCAGAGCCGCAGGCACACCTGAAGGAAGAAGATTTAACTGACACACACAGGGTAGACAAATACTATAGAATACAGATGATGGAAGAGCTAGGTCTGGTTTTAAATAGACATGGGTTTCAACCTCAACTTTTCCAAATATCAGCTGGTTATTAACTACTGCAGTCTCTATTGTTAATCTATAAAGTGAATATAACCTTACCTCTTAGGGGGAAAGGAACTGATTTAGGGAGAAGAGATTAAATTAAACATATCTTTATGTTTGTGACAGAATATTAAATTCTGTAAAAATCATCAAATGTTGAGACAGAGTAAGACCTTAGAGTTCATTTGGTTCAATCCCATTATGTTATAAATGAGGAAAATAAGATCTGAAAAAGCCAAGAGGCATCTCCAGGACCATAGAGTACTTGGCAGGGAAAAGCCACTGCTTTCTTCCAACTTTATGGAAAACTCATCTTAAAAGAAGAATTATAAAGATGTTTTCATCATTTTCAGTTTCATTTTATGGAAAATATTTCGAGAGTAAATCTTTCTTAGAGATATTTTAGAGAAATAATTACTCTGGGAGACCCTTTTCTAGTTCTAGGATTTTAGGTCAGAGTCAATAGGCTAGTTTTTAAAATTTTATCCAGATGTAGGCAGTGTCATAGTTATTACTCCATGACAGAGTACACCATAAATTTATTTTGTTTAACCAGCATGGTTTCAGTAACATCTTCAAGTGAACTTTGTTTTTTTTTTTATATAATTAAAAAAATCATTTCAGTAAATGTATGTTCTATTTCCTAGATGTCTCCTGAAGAAAAAGTTTGTAACTACTGTGGAGTCAGCTATCTAATTCTTCATGAATTTAAAGCTATGGAAGAAAAAGTGAAAGCAATGGAAAAAGAGATGATATTTTATCAAGGAAGTGTAGAACGTGAAAAGAGACTTCAAGAAAAGCTGCAGTCTCTTAGCCAAGATTTTGAACAGTACAAAATTGACAATGAGTCCAAAATAGAAAGGTTGAGTATGGTTTTCTTTTTCTATCATTTATTTACTTTGAAAGAAAAATGCAGATGATAGATTTTGAATGTCTTTCTAGAATTTCTCTATATCAAGTATAATGTCTAATTGAATACACTAGTTTATTCATTAGCTGTGTTACTAAATATAATTATTAGTGTAACTTCAAGCTTTCTTTTGAGGCATATGTTTACTATATGAATAATTAGAAACAAAATTAATTCCATAACTGGAAGTTGAGATGGATCAACATTTTTTTATATATACTTTTTTATTGGGAAGATTTATCTATCAAAACTTGGATGAATTTTGATTTTTTTGTGTTATTGGATGTTTAACCCTGTAAGTGCTGACCTAGATCCCTAGCCTTTCTTTTATTTTTGGAACAGAATGTTGCTAAGTTGTCTGGACTGGTTGAACTTATGATCCTCCTGCTTTAGCCTCCCAAGTAGCTGAGATTACAGGTAGAGGTCACCATGCCCAGCTAAATCTTGGTAGTTTTTGATACCTACCACTTGTTTAGGTGGTAGATTTTAATTTTTAGATGTAGGTTTTCCTTCAGAATAAGGCTTTCATGTTTTGAAAGGGACATAAAAGACATAAAGACATAAAAATTATGTGATTCTGAACAAGACATAAAAATTATGTGATTCTGAACCATTGAAATTGCAATAAAATTTAATAATGTGTTCTTTATACTGCAGAATCTAATAAAAAATTTAGTCTGCTTAAAGATGTTTCAATAAGCTTATATGGACATTGCTATATAAGTTTTTGCTGGCGTTATGGTTTGTCTTGTGAATGTTAATTTCTCAATTTAAAGTTTCAGTAATTTATTATTAGTAAGCCCTGAGTTGATAAATTTAGTGAACATATGTCTACATACCAGTAATTACTTTTTAAATCTCTCATGATTAAGTACTTTTATTAAATGTTATTTTTATAAGAGTATGTAATTATATTAATTGCCAATTGAAATACAGTATCTTAGTCCTTTACCAAAAACTTTTAGTATGGTTTTCTCAGTTGCAAATTTAAATAATAGAATATCCTTTAATATTTGAGCAGGAACATTTAAAAATTTAAAAATTTGGATTATGTGGTTTAAATTTTAAATCTAGAGAGTTTCTACCCGTCAAGTGCACTTCTGTTTGGTGGTGTTCACATTTTACTTTCTATAATAGAATGTTGTATTATGTGAGCCATACATAAATATATGAAATAAAAGAAGCATATAGAGTAGAAGGCAAGAAAGTCCCTTTTTATCTAACTGGTTGCATTCTTACTGGAGGTAAAAACCATTTGTAATGAATCTGTGTATATCTTTTAGATCCTTCATTCTGTCTTTACCTTTGTTAGAGATATATTTCATATGCATTTCATATATATATATATATATATATAGTTTTATATTTTAAGAGACTAGTGTTTTGTTTTGTTTTGTTTTGTTTTGTTTTGTTTTGTTTTGGTACAGGGTCTTACAATGCAGTTCAGGCTGGTCTTGAACTCATTTTGTAGCCTAGGCTAGCCTTGGACTTGCAATGATCCTCCTGCCCCAGCCTCCTGAGTGCTGGGATTACAGGCATGCACCACCACACCCGGCGAGACTAGTTTTTAAGGCAAGCAATATGTCAAGTGTATTGTTCTGTTACTTACTTTTGTAACTTTATATATATTGGAAGTTGTTCCATGTGAATGCATATAGATCTACCTTGTTCTTTATTGCAGCAATGCTTTCCTTGTTATAAATATGACATAATTTACTTAACCATTTCTCTTTCTAGCATTTATATTATGTCCAATTTTATTATTGCATATGTCAATTTTATTATTGGATGTGTTTTTTCCATGAATAAATTGTTGGAAGTGAAATTACTGAATGAAAGAAAGAAAATGCCAACTTACAGTTTTGATGAATATTGTAGCAGATTGTCCTTTTAGAAGGCAGCGTTAACTTACATCATTTGATCAATACTTTATGAACTGGCCATTTTCCTACGTTTTGTTAATGTTGGCATTGTCTTAATTTCTCTCAGTTTATGTGTAAAAAGCAGTTACATCATGGTTATTTAATTACATTTTTGTTTTGCTAATAAGTCTGGACATTTTTCACATATTTATTAGACATTTATATTTCTTTCTCTCTTGATTACATAAATGGCCCAGTTTTCAATTTAATTATTTGTTTACTTTTATTTATAGAGTTGTAAATGTAACATTGACCTTATATTTACTTTATATATGTATTGTTCCACTTTTCTTATGGTTGCTCGCCTTTTCAACTGTTTATTGTGTCTTGTGCAGCACCTTGTTGCTGTCCTTAAAAAAAAATCCTAGGCTAAGTTGTGGTTCCATAGGATTCCGTGTCATGTTCTTTTGGTTGCAGATGACAGAAAGTTTCTCTAACACTAAGCTAGATCTAAAACGAATTTATTGGGAGAGTGTGAGATAGTAGCTCATTGAAGGAAAGGAAAAACTCAAATTCCTTGGCTTTGGAAATAGATAGACAACCGAACACGTTCAGGTATTTGGGAGGTCTCTTTGGAGAGGATTAGCTCAGCATTTTCTTTCTTGCATCATTCCCGTCGAGAATAGAACCCCAGAAGAGTCTCACTGGCTTCACCCGAACTTCATGACACCTTGCCCCTAACCCATTAGTCTGAGAAAGGGAAGGAACCTTGATTGATAGTTGTTCTATAAAGACTTCATACAATGAAGGAAAAGGTATTCACTAAGGAGAAATTAGACTATTATTGTCAGAAGAAGGAGGAATAGATTCAGGCAGGTAGTAACATATGGCTACAATGTACAGTATTATTTTAGAATCAGCTTTTTAATATAATTGGAATTAGTTTTTGTATATGTGAGGTAGATTTAAAATTTCATCTCACTATCCTTAAATCTTTCATCTTTTTTCCCCTACTTGAAATGCCAACTATTAATTCCTAGTTTATTTGTGGACCCTGTATTTTATACTATTGATCTATTTATCAGTGGGTCGGCATCACACTGTTAACTACTTTAGCTTTATAATATGTTTTGGTATTTTGCTTGGCAAGTCTTCATTTTGTTTCTCAGGTTATCCTGGCTTTTCTGGTATATTTTCTTTTCTGGATAAATTCCACAATCAGCTTATCGGATGTCATAAAACATCTTGGATTTTGATTTACACTGGGGTTGAGTTTATTTTCTAGAGTGGTTTACATTACTTTCTTGAGAACTGACACTTTTTGTGTCATAATCTTGAAACTTCTTGAGAACTGTCACTTTTTGTGTCATAATTACTTTCTTGAGAACTGTCACTTTTTGTGTCATAATCTTGAAACTTCTTATCCTAGAACGAGATCTTTTACCTCTATTTATTCAGATGTTTGTTAAACCTCTCAATAAAATGATACAGTCTTCTTATATATTCTTTATTTGATCCCTATGCGTAATTTTTATTGCTGTTAAAAATGGAATATAGGGCTGGGGATATAGCTCAATGGCACGAGCGCCTGCCTGGCAAGTGCAAGGTCCTAAGTTTGCTTCCTGGTACCAAAAAAAAAAAAAGGAATTTATTTCTTAACTTTTATATATTGATTTTGTATTTAGCTCTCTGACTGAATTCATTTATTAGTTGTATGTATTTTTCTTGACTACATTATATATATTCATAATACACACACAAAAACCAATAACATAGATGGAAATTGGAACTGCCTTATATTTTCATTTCCAGTAGTTTTGTTTCCACACCCTTCTTTTTGTCTTATTAAACTGCATGGGAACAATACAGCAGTATTGAATAGTAAACTTGAGAGTTCATCTTTGTTGCTAACTTAATGTGAGTTTATATAGCATGTTACTGTGTTAAATAGGATGTTTGCTGTGAGTTTCTTAAAGATGCCTTTTATCAATTTAAGAAATTTGCCTTTTATTTCTAGCTCTTTAAGGTTTATTTTTAATCAGAAATGATTAATGGATTTTAATAAATGACTGTTTATCTTCATATTGTTTTTCTCCTTTCATCGTTTAAGATAGTAAATAGTACTAATAGATTTTTGGCATAAAACCATTTTGATGATGAATTCCAGGATTCTTTAAATTTTATTTACGTATTTACCTGCTTCATGCTTTTTGTCACAGCTATAAGTTATTTATATTACTTTTTCTGTAAATATTTCCTTAGGCGTATTTCTGTACACACAGTACACAGAAAAACTTCACTTGCAATAAATAATGGTTAAAAATATAATTATTAAAATAAAAATCTTTTGTCGCTAGCACTAAAGTGATTGTCGGTGCGATTAGTGATGTGTGAATTAGTTTGTGAAGAGCATGGTTCGCATATAGTGCTAGATTAATTTGCCAATATTTTGCATAGATGTTTGCATCTACGTCCAAGGTGAAGCCGGTCTGTAGTTTTCTTTTTTTAGGATATAAAGATTGGCGTATGTCAGTTCCTTATAGTAACTGAAGGAAACTCTCATGTGCACCATACAGTTTGAGAAACAGATGGCTTGACTGCTCCTTGCACTTTTTGGCAGCTCTCCTTCCTAAAAAATGTCTTATCTTTTTTTTTTTTTTTTTTTTTTTTTTGTTTTTCTCCGGTACCGGGAACCGAACTCACGACCTTGCGCTTGCCAGGCAGGCGCTTTGCCGCTGAGCTAATTCCCCAGCCCCGTGTCTTATCTTTTTTAGGTGGTAGAACTTGGTGCAGCATTATAGTTCATCTATAGTTATTGCTTTATTTCTGAATTTTAACCTCTTCTCAGGTCACTTTAAGAAGCTGATGGTTTTCTAGTCCAGTAACAGTTGTGCCAAAAAACTGTGTACATGAGGAAAAGAAAAACTTGTATAGATATTTTAACACTAAATTTATTGGGACAGTGTGAGATTAATACAAGTTACCTTTGGCCTCTACAATTACAAGAGGTGCTCAGCGTGGTGGCCATCAGCTTCCAGACATTTATAGTATGGTGAACTGCTAAAGCGTGTGTATGTTCTTGTGGCAGAC